CTCAGCGCAAGGAAGAAGCTAGGCTTCGCAGTAAGAGGCTCACGTTTCTGTCTCATGTCAATCGTCGTGCTCGCAAGTTGTTTAAGCCAGGAGTGGTCGCTGTTGGCACATGGAGCCATCAAGTCCTCGGCACTCCGCCCTCGCGCATGCGTGCTCTCCGTGCCCAGGCTGCTAAAGCGACAGGACGATGGCATGCTGGCTGTTGTACCACTACCCTCCTTGCTCTTGATCATGCTATGTCTGATGACCCAGCGTATAAGATTCGATTTGAACATCTGTTGGAATGGAGCCGAACCTACCGTGTCCTCGACCCTAGCCAAGTTTGTAGTGTGAACAAAGTGTGGCCCAAGTTGTTAGCTAAGCTGCGAAGTGTCCCCCCTGTTCACCGTTGGCGTCATGTGCGGGGACCCATCGCGTCTGTCATCATGTGTGTCTTGGAGCTCAATGGGAACCCGCTGGAGCCCTGCACGTGGAGATTCCCTGATGTTACCCTCCATGTTGACCGACGTGATTTCCCGTATTTTTTGTGGAAGACGGTTGAAAAACAAGTGGGTAGTATGCTTTGGGTCCAAGCATCTAAGGCGTATGGGGGACAGGGTCTGCATGAAGGCGTCGATTTTACTGTGTTGCGTAGGCTGCGGAATTCGCTGTCTCGGCAAGGCGACCTCGACGGCGTTGCTATTTTGAACCACCTTGTCTCTGGCGGCCAGTGGCCAGAGCAGCGCCTCAAGGACAGCGGCTACCTCAGCAATGGTGTATGCCCTCGCTGTGGAGTTCGTCAGGAGACACCTTGGCACAGATACTGGGGCTGTCAAGATAATGTGAATATTGATGACGACCACATACACCTCACTAACCATATGTATGAAGATTCCCTTGTTGGTGTTCCTGAATCGGAGTGTTTCTGGACTCGTGGCTTGGTTCCCCTGGGATGGACGGTTGGTGTGTTGCCTCCTGTCGAAGCTAAGGTTTGGGCCTGGGGATCTTTTCACGAGGCGCTTCGTGAAGGTGTACCGATTCATGGGGGTATATTCGGGAGTGACGCTTCTGGAGGAGAACATACGAAGGATTGGAGGTTGAGGAGATGTGGGTGGTCTGTTGTTCACCTTCAACCAGGGACCCTCCAGGTGTCAGGCGTGTTGTGTGGAACCCTCCCTGGAGCTGAGCAAAACTCTCCCCGTGCCGAATTGTACGCTGTGGTCCAGCTGTTGCGTTATGTCGTCGGTGATGCAGTGTTGTACACCGACTTTCTGCCTGTCGCTCGTGCTTTTGCTCGGAAGGATGTCGAAGTTGATCACTCGTGCATGTTGGACCTGTGGCAGCAGGTCTGGGACCAGCTTGGCAACAGAGAAGGCAAGCTGGACGTTCACTGGTGCAAGAGCCACCCCACCTTCAAGCAGGTCTCCGCCCACCGCCTGACCCCCCAAGGATTAGTCGCCAATGGCGTTGCCGATCACTTTGCGGGGGAAGCTGCCAAGTGGGGGGCCCTGCCTGCTGAGAAGGTCAGGGAAATCTATAATGTAGATGAAAATTGTTTACGTGTAGTTAAGCGACTCCTCGCTGTCTCCAGGCATGTTTCGCTCATGTGCCCGAGGACTCGTGAGGACCGTCTAGGTAGAGAGCACCACAAAGAGCGAGGCCCCAGTTCGAGCAACCTCCGCAAAGCGAGATTGCGTGAGCAGGGCCATGATGTGTGTAAAGTTGCAGGATCCTTTAAGTGCTCGCGTTGTCTGTGTAGATTTCCTGCCGTCCGAGGGGAGCTGGCCAAATTCTGGCCTAGCCAGTGCCCTGGAGCGCTGGTGTTGGGGTCCTCGTCGTCTGGCAGGTTGGACCCTTCGGCTTCCCCTGGCCCCGCGTCACAGGGCAACCCGATCGGACATCCCTGTTTCCCGCGTGCGCATCCGACGCACGTCTTGGCTGAATTCAAAGGAATTTTGTATTGTCGGTGCTGTGGGCACTTTGCCGCCAACGTTGTTCAGAAGTTGGCCAAGCCCTGCCCACCCGCGTGCCCTGAGACTGGCACGCCTCTGTCCGCCACTGGCAGGCGCAACCTTGAGCGGCTAGCCGAAGGCAAGCCTCCCAAGTATGGCATGGCCTTCCCCGCTCCTTGACTGTTTTGATCGAGGGCCCGAGCTTGCACTCGTGAGTCCCCCGAATTCTGGAATCGCTGGAATCCTCCTCCTCCTCCTCCTCCCCTCCTACCTCTCATACTCCTCCTCTCCTCCTTCCTCCTCCTCCTAATCCTCCCCCTTCTCTCAATCATCCTCCTCCTTCCTCCTCCCTTCCACCTCTTTCACTCCTCATCCTCCCCCTCCTCTCCTACCTCCTCCTCCTCCTCCTCCCCTACTTCCTCATCCTCCTCCTCCTCCCTCCCTCACTCTTCCTCTCCTCTTGCTCTCCTCTCTCATCTCTCTCTCTCCCTCCCATCCCCCTCCTCCCTCATCTTCCTCTCTCCTCTTTCCTCCTACTCCTTTCTCCCCTTCCCTCCTCCCTCCTCCCTCCTCCCTCCATCAGGTCTACGAGGCGCTGTCCGCGGTGCCCAATGGCTGCTTCACCGTGGCCGCCGCCTTCGGCAACGTGCACGGCGTCTACTCCCCCGGCAACGCGGGGGCCCCGGCGGCCGTGCTCCGGCGGAACGCAGCGGCGAGGGCTCGCCCGGCAGCGCAGGGACCGGGCTGGGCGCGCAGGGGGCCAGGGCTCAGTCGGGCCTGTCCCCCCTACAGGGGGATGTTCGACGAAAAGTAAAAGATACCCCAAGAATACCCCAAGAAGTTCTGAAGATACTCAAAAGATAGTCCCCAGACTATGTTTGGATTATTGTTTTATTATTGTGGGGGTATTTTCTATTGTTCGTCGAAAATCCCCCTGTAGGGGGACAGGCCCGACTTAGGGCCAGGGCTCAGTTCAAGCCTTTCGATCCGATTCGATTTCGATGGCCTCCGATTCCGTTTCGAGTCGACTTCGAATTCCGGTGTGGATGCCGATTCCTCACAATGGAGGTCCATTAGCTTGCCGATTTCTGCCGACTCGACTTCTCCCGACTTGGCTGCCGATTCCTGCCGAGCCGACTCATTCCGATCGCCGATCCGATTTGTCGGTTCGACTCTGTGCTGTCTTGGGGGGGGCTCTCGCCATGAAGCAATCGGGTCCCGAGGCTTTGCTCCGTTCTTGGCCTCAGGGGGCCCTCCACGGGCCCTGCACGGCCTTGGAGATGTAATGCAGTTTCCATGTCGATCTGTTTGGTTTCGTCTCTTTCGGTGTAGCGTCGTTGCTGCGCCTCGGGTGGCCGCTGCGGGCCCCAGCACTGTCAGCAACCGTCCCGGGATGACGAGCGAACCCCGGGGAAATCCCCCGGACGACTCTTCGACGTGACCCGCGGACCTTTCCCCAGGAGTGTGTGGAGCCGTCGAAGAGCGGCTCGGGACGTAGAGCTAGTCCTGGTCGACGGCGCTGGGGTCCAGAGGCGCGTTTCCGTCAGGAGCCGCTCGTTTTTTTTTCGTGGCAATGTTCGCAGGGCGAGAAGGGGAAGAGAGGGATTGGGCGGGGTGGACCCGTTCGTTTCCTTCGTGGCAATCGTTTCCTTCGTGGCAATGTTCGCAGGGGGAGAAGGGGAAGGGGAGGCGGGTGGGCGGGGTGGACCCGCTCGTTTCTTTCGTGGCAATGCTCGCAGGGCGAGAAAGGGGAAGGGGAGGGAAGTTGGCGGGGTGGACCCGTTCGCTTCCTTCGTGGCAATGTTCGCAGGGCGAGAAGGGGGAGGGGGAAAGCACGCCTGGGACGCCTGCAAGCTCCGAGAAGCAAACTTCGAAGGAGCTTCGAGGGACCTGCGGAGAGGCGGGTGCGCCGGGGCGCCAGGCCAGGGTCTGAGCAGATGGGCCGGGCCCCATCGCCGGTGCGGTGGGGCGGTGCGGGGCAGTGTCAATGTTGAGTCACATTGTGAATGCCTCGCTCTCCTGGGGTTTTGTTGTGTTCCTACTCGTTAACATGTGTCACGTGTGCGGAGCTACACTGTCAATGCCGCGCTTTCATGTGGCTTCGCTGTGTTCCTGCTCGCAACGCACACCGCCAGATGCGGCGGAGAGCTTGAGAGATCCACATACAAAAAGGGCCCGATGCGTTGCGCGATGCAGTCAGCCCGCATAGTTAGGATGGGCAACCTTCCCAAGGGTACTCCTGCATCCTTGCCTCCTCGGCCCATCCTGGACTGAGATTCTGGCGTTGCAATTTTTGTTCAGAAGAGGCGCTTTCGCTCGCTTTCGGACCCCGGGACCCTCACAGATCGATCCGACTCGAAAGATGACGCAGACAGATGGGGTTCCGAGGCTCCGGTCGTGACTTTTGCGATGTTGCAATTTTTTTGCAACGGCGGATTCAGGGTTGGCCGCTTTCGCTGGCCGCGCCCTGCCCGACGAGCTTCGAAACGGCCTTCCAAGGCCCTTGCATCCTCATCGTGCATCCCTATGAGACGGGTCGACTATATCCGACCCCGAACCAAACCTCCAGGTCGGGTTGGGAGGTCGCCGCGGCGATCGTGGCGACAACCAATCGGGGCAGGGTTGCTGTCAAAGAGCCGCATGCACCTTTCCAGTTCCCCCCCCGCTCTGCGATGTAGACGCTGTGTACCATATGGCGACAGAGAGTTGTCAATGCATGTCGAACATGAGCAATCAGATGTGTTGTTGGTTATGGGTTATGGGTCGATTATTACGCAACCGCCGATTTTCTCCACGCCGACGTCGCCGACGCAGGGCAGGCGCCGCCGATGCATCGCCAATGCATTGGGGATGCGGTGCGATCCTCCGATCCCATTTGGAAGGCCTCTGTGAGGGGATCACTAGAGGGTTTGTAAGTGGATGCCAAGGAGGCGTACATCTAGTCTTTCCTTCACGCGCTTCTGCATGCTCACCGTGAAGAAAGAATAATCGCCAAGAGGAAGTGGGGGCGATCAGTCTTCGCCCTGTTCTGCCTCCGGGGGCCCTGCCAGGCACCAGCTTGGATCACCGCGGAGAGTGCTAAGGGAATAGGTGGATACAGGTGGTTGCCTCGTGGGGCCCTTCCCAGGGCTTGAATCACCGTGGGAGGTGCTCAGGGAATAGGGGTTTATAGGTGGATGCCAAGATTGGCTATATCTGGCCTGACATAATGCATAACCCACAAGCGGGTTACAAGGGTCATGAATGGCTATGGGGGGACAAAAGATCTGGATTAAGTGGGCCCGCCCACTTAGCGGAGTTATCTTAATCCCCTTTGGCCATTTGGGGCATCTGCAGCCCACTTAAAATGCTAGGTCAGGCCAGGCACAACCTGGCTTCGCATCCACTTAGAGAGTGATGTTTTCAGGGTCTCGCGATAGTTATCGGGCCCGCCCACCCTTCCTCCACGTTATCGGGCCCGCCCACCCTTCCTCCACCTCCCCGGATAATTTGACAGTGTTGGTTGGTGTGCGCGGGCATACGTGGGGCTGCCCAAAGCGAAAAGGTTGAGCTCTCGGCCGGTACCTCAACCCCCCTTTCCCTCTCCCCTCCGCATAACTTGGGGCGTCGCCGAAACAGAAAAGCTGTCTTGAATCCCCTCGTGCTCCCTCCCCATCGGAGGTTTGCCAAGAGAACCGTGCAACAAAACGAGTACGAAGAGCTGGCCACGGGGGAAGAAAGCCCTGGGATCCAGGACCCGTTTCCTTCAGGACCTTTTTGCATCGCTTCAAGTATGCAGTTGTGCAGTTGTGTGTTGGTCGCAGTCTGCGCGTGCGCTTCCACGTCCTGCAGTTTGCTTCCATGTCTGGGCCGCGGCCAGCCACTGCTCGGGGCCCGCGCGCTCTCACTTGCATTGCGTTGCCTCACGAGGAGAGGGTCCTCCTTCTCCTCCCTTCTCTCTGCTCCTCCCTCCTCCTCCTCCCTCATCATCCTTCTTCCACCCTCCTCATCCTTTCTCCTCCTCCTCCTCGATTCCTTCTTCTTCCAGATAACTCCCCTGTCGCACCCCGAGGCCAGTTTTTCGGGCGGGCCGGGCGTTTCGCCGAAGACTTCCTCACCACTAATGATTCTGAAGCTGAAAAAGTGACAGTAATTCACAGATGGAGGGCGGGTGGTTTTCAAAAAATTGCTCTCGCCTCAGCCCCTCGCACATGTTTGAAACATGTGCAAGAGCTTCACGGATTGAGGGCGGGTGGTTTTCAAAACGTGGCTCTCGCTCTAGCGCCGCGCACACTCGTCTTAAACATTTGCACGAGTTTCACGTAGTGACGGCGGATGATTTTCAAAATGTGGCTCTCGCTTTAACGCCGCGCACATTCGTCTTAATCATGTGCACGAGTTTCACGGATTGAGAGCGCGTGGTTTTCAAAATGTGATTCTCGCCTCAGCGCCGCGCACATTCGTTTCAAACATTTGCAATGAGTTTCACGGATTGAGGGCGGGTCGCTCTCAAAATAGTGTTTTCGTTTTAGCGCCGCGTACGGTCGTTGTTTTTGATTGCAAGAGCTTCACGGATTGAGAGCGGGTGGTTTTCAAAATGTGGTTCTCGCCTCAGCGCCGCGCACATTCGTTCAAAACAATTGCAAGAGTTTCACGGATTGAGGGCTGGTCGTTTTCAAAATGTGGTGTTCGCCTTAGCGCCGCGCACATTCGTGTCAAAAATTTGCAAGCGTTTCACGGATTGAGGGCGGGGTGTTTTCAAAATGTGGTTCTCGCAATAGCGCCGCGTACATCCGTTTTCAAATTTTGCAAGAGTTTCACGACTCCCCATGATCAACGAACCAGGAATGGTGTTGTGGCAGGATTCAGGATTATGCGGGTGCAACAGTTGTGTTGGTTCGCGGGGCTGAAATCCCAAAAATGGCGCTCTGGTACGAATCCGGATCGTCAAGACGCAGCAGTCAGGTTGATACGTGGCGTCGAAAGCCCGAGAACAATGTTTTGGCATGCTTCAGGATCTTCAAACGGTTGTCTTCAACGAGGCACGTCCTTCAATGGAAATGAACCGTTGTAGGGGCCTATGAAGAGGGAGCTTGGAGGGAGGGTTTACTCAAACATCTTTGATGACTCTTGGGCTTACACTGGTCCTCATCTTCCTTCTCTTCGTCCTCCCCATCATCATCAGCAGCAGCACCAGCAACAGCATCATCATCATCATCATCATCATCATCATCATCATCATCATCCGAATCCTCATCATTATGAGTATCATCGGCATCAGCAGCATCATCATCAGCATCATCATCGTCATCATCAGCATCTTCATCAGCACCATCCTAATCAGCATCGTCATCGTCATCATCAGCAGCAGCATCGGCACTCATCATGACCATCATCATCATCAGCATCAGCAGCATCCTCAGCACCACCATCATCATTATCATCGGCATCATCATGATCATGATCATCATCATCAGCATCAGTATCATCATCATCCTCATCGTCATCATCATCAGCATCATCATCATCACCATCATCAGCATCATCAATATCATTATCATCGGCATCCGCATGATCGTCATCATCATCAACAACATCCTCATCATCATCATCATCATCATCATCATCATCATCATCATGCTCCTTCGCCACATCCCTCCTCTTCCTCCGCCTCCTCCTCCTCCTCCTCCTCATCCCTGTCCTCGTTCTCCTCCTCCTCATCATCATCATCATCCTTCTTCGCCCAACCACCACCCACCGCCAACAACAATTATTCACTGCGTGGAGCTCTCCATATGTGCATCTATTCGCATGGACCTGTCCGCCGTGAATGTCTAGGCGCAAAGGCTTTCGAATATAAACGGGCTTCAGTTGTGACGGTCTGGTCATGAATCTAGCTGCGAATGAATTCGAGTGTGAATGAGCCTCAGTAGTAGGAGCGCGTCTCTGCGCATGAGCTTGGGGCCTCCTGGGTCGTACCCCAGGAGAGGCCCAACACATAGGGACATAAGTAAAACATGTAGGATTGTGTTCACAGGATAAGGACACTATATTGAAACATACGTATAACGTCAAGGATTCGTGCTCCAGGTGAGGCCCAATCTATAGGAGCATACGTAAAACACATGGGATTGGAGCCACTCCTGTTGCCTTCTGAGGCCTCCTGCTCCTGGGCCCTCTCGGGGCCTCCTGTTGCCTTCCAAAGTCTCCTGGCGCTTCCTGTGGCCTCCTGGGGCCTCCTGTGGCTTCCTGAGGCCTCCTGGAGCTTCCTGGGGCCTCCTGGAGCATCTTGGGACATCTTGTGGCCTCTTGAGTCTTTCTGTGGCCTCCTGATGCCTCCTGGGACCTCATGTGGTCCCCAATGGCCTCCTGGAGCCTGTTGGAGCATCCTGTGGCACCCTGAGGAGAATATGTGCCCACGAGTCTGGCCACCAAAACAGGCAAACCGAACGAGACATCCTCAAAATCTGGCCCACCTGAAGGGTAAAAATGAGCGCCTCGCTCGAGACATCCTCCAAATCTGCTCCGAACGCGAAGGATGTTGGGCCAGAAAACAGGTAAACCGCTTTAGACATCCCCACAAAACGGCCGCGAACGGGACCGTGTCATACCCCTCGGCGGCTCCCCTTAGGAGTGTGAAAATGAGCGCCTTGCTCGAGACATCCTCCAAATCTGCTTCGAACGCGAAGGATGTTGGGCCAGAAAACAGGCAAACCGTTTGAGACATCCCACACACCGGCCGCGAACGGGACCGTGTCATACCCCTCGGCGGCTCCTTTTAGGGGTGCTGAAACCAGCGCCCAGCCTGAGACATCCTCACAATACGTTGTGTGTAGAGTAAGTCAGACAATGAGAAGGCCTGAGTATGAGTAAGTCTGGGTGTGCGTGAGTCTCACCATGAGTAAGTCTGAGTAGGAGTAGGTCTGAGTATGAGGAGGTCTGAGTATGAGTAATTTTGTGTGTGAGTAAGTCTGGGTATGAGTAAGTCTGAGTGTGAGTCAGTCTGTGTATGAGTAAGTCTGGGTATGAGGAGGAGAGGGGAGGAGAAGGAGAAGAAGAAGGAGTAAGAGGCGTCAGAGTAATTACTCGACGCGGGGCTCCCCATATGTGCATCTCATTCTCTTGGTACGTCTTTATCTTGATATCTGTCAATGAGCGCCTGTGTGCGAGGGCGAACCGCTCGCTCGAGACATTCCCACAGTCTGCAAGCATGAGTGCGACCAATAGCAAATCTGAGAGCGACTGCTTCTCAGTGTGAGTTAATCTGGGTGCGATTGAGCCTGGGTGTGAGTGGGTATGCGTGTGAGTAAATATGAGCGCGAGTGCGTCTGTGTGCGGGTGGGTCTGAGTATGGACTTATCTGAGTGTGAGCCAGTCTGCGATTGAGCGGATCGTAGCATGATGAGTCTGAGCATGAGTGAGTCTGGGCTTGAGTGGGTCTGAGTGTGAGAAAAAGTGTGTGTTAATGAATCTGAGTGCGAGTGAGCCGAGTGTGATTGGGTATGGATGTGAGGCAGTCTGAGTGTGAGTCGGTCTGCGTTTGAGCGGACCGAAGGATGATGAGTCTGAGCAGGAGCGAGTCTGAGTATCATTGGTTCTGAGCGTGAGTCTGAGTGTGAGTAAGCTTAAGTATGGATATGAGCGAGTCTAAGTGCGAGTGAGCCTGCGTGTGACTGAGTCTGAGTATGAGTGAGTATGAATGCAGAAGAGTGAAGGAGAGCGGAGAGCGAAGGAGAGTGAGGCGGAAGCGTTTGAGTAAAACCTAAAGCCTTGGAACATCGAACCTCGATCGCCTGGCCCTGGCTACTCGAGTTGCCCACGTCCTCCTCCTCCTCCTCCTCCTCCTCCTCCTCCTCCTCCTCCTCATCATCATCATCATCATCATCATCATCATCCTCCCCTTCCTGCTTCTGCTCCTACCGTGTTCATGCTGTCCTCCTTCTCCTCCTCCTCCTTCTCGTCCTCTTCCTCCTCCTCCTCGCTTCCTCCTTCTCTTCTCTTCCTCCTCCTCCTCCTCTTCCTCCTCCTCCTCTTCCTCCTCCTTGGGAGTGCTGAAACCAGCAAATCACCTGAGACATCCTCCCAAAACTGCTCCGAACACGACAGATGCCCAGCAGCATAACGGCAAACCGCCTGAGACATCCCCGCAAATTAGGCGCGAACGTCCTCCAAATCTGCTCCGAAAGCGAAACATGTTGGAAGAGAAAATTGCCAAACCGCCTGAGACATCCCCCACAAAATCCCGCGAAAGGGGCCGAGTGCAATACCCCCCCGCCGCTCCCCTTAGGAGTGCTGAAACCAGCGAATCGCCTGAGACATCCTCCAAATCTGCTCCGAAAGCGAAACATGTTGGAAGAGAAAATGGCCAAACCGCCTGAGACATCCCCACAAAATCCCGCGAAAGGGGCCGAGTGAAATACCCCCCCGCCGCTCCCCTTAGAGTGCTGAAACCAGCGAATCGCCTGAGACATCCTCCAAATCTGCTCCGAAAGCGAAACATGTTGGAAGAGAAAATGGCCAAACCGCTTGAGACGTCCCCACGACATCCAGCGAAAGGGGCCGAGTGAAATACAACCCCGCCGCTCCCCTCAGAGTGCTGAAACCAGCGAATCGCCTGAGACATCCTCCAAATATGCTCCGAAAGCGAAACATGCTGGAAGAGAAAATAACCAAACCGCCTGAGACATCCTTACAAAATCCCGCGAGAGGGGCCGAGTGAAATACCCCCCCCGCCGCTCTCCCCAGGAATGCTGAAACCAGCGAATCGCCTGAGACATCCTCCAAATCTTCTCCGAAAGTGAAACATGTTGGAAGAGAAAATGACCAAACCGCTTGAGACATCCTCTCACAATTTTGCGAAAGGGGCCGAGTGAAATACCCCCCCGCCCTTCCCCTTAGGAGTGCTGAAGCCGCAGAATCGCCTGAGACATCCTCAACATCAGTGTGTGTGAGTCACCCGATGAGTGGACCTGAGTGAGTGCAGCGAATGTATGAGTACAAGTACGAGTGAGTCTCAGTGATGAGGGAGTCTGAGTGATGAGTGAGTCTGGGTGATGAGTGAGTCTGAGTGATGAGTCACGAGTCTGAGTCATGACTGAGTCCGAGTGATGAGTGAGTCTGAGTGATGAGTGAGTCTGAGTGATGAGTGGGTCTGAGTGATGAGTGAGTCTGAGTGATGAGTGAGTGGGTCTGAGTGAGAGGAGTGGTGTGTTCTCTCTCCTCCGGCGCGGCCCGCCAATAATTACTCGACGCGGGGTTCCCCATATGTGCATCTCATTTTCTTGGTACTTCTTTCTCTAGATATCTGTCAATGAGCGCCTGTGTGCGAGGGCGAACCGCTCGCTCGAGACATTCCCACAGTCTGCAAGCATGAGTGCGACCAATAGCAAATCTGAGAGCGACTGAATCTGAGTGTGAGTTAATCTGGGTGCGATTGAGCCTGGGTTTGAGTGGGTATGCGTGTGAGTAAATATGAGCGCGAATGCGTCTGTGTGCGAGTGGATCTGAGTATAGACGAATCTGAGTGTGAGCCAGTCTGTGATTGAGCGGATCGTAGCATGATGAGTCTGAGCATGAGTGAGTCTGGGCTTGAGTGGGTCTGAGTGTGAGAAAAAGTGTGTGTGTGTGTGTGTGTGTGTTAATGAATCTGAGTGCGAGTGAGCCGAGTGTGATTGGGTATGGATGTGAGGCAGTCTGAGTGTGAGTCGGTCTGCGTTTGAGCGGACCGAAGGATGATGAGTATGAGCAGGAGCGAGTCTGAGTATGAGTGGTTCTGAGCATGAGTCTGAGTGTGAGTAAGTTTAAGTATGGGTATGAGCGAGTCTAAGTGCGAGTGAGCCTGCGTGTGGCTGAGTCTGAGTATGGGTGAGTATGAATGCAGAAGAGTGAAGGAGAGCGGAGAGCGAAGGAGAGTGAGGCGGAAGCGTTTGAGTAAAACCTAAAGCCTTGGAACATCGAACCTCGATCGTCTGGCCCTGGCTACTCGAGTTGCCCACGTCCTCCTCCTCCTTTCTACTCCTCCTCCTCATTAATCATCAGCATCATCATCATCAATCAGCATCTCCCCTTCACTCCTCTTTATCCTACGTGTCATGCTCCTCCTCGTCCTCCTCCTCCTCCTCGTCCTCTTCCTCCTCCTCCCCCTCCTCCGCTTCTCCTATCTTCCTCCTCTCCTCTCCTCCTCCTCCTTCTTCCTTCCTCATTCCCTCCTCCTCCTCCTCCTCCTTTGGGAGTGCTTGTGAAGCCAGCAAATCGCCTGAGACATCCTTCCCAAAAACGCCACGAAAACGGACGACATCGACAGATGCCAGCATCATAACGGCCAAAAACGACCTGAGAAATCCCGCAAACTGGGCGCGAACGTCCTCCAAATCTTGCTCCGAAAGCGAACATGTTGTGGTTTGTTTGTTTTGGAAGAGAAAAGAAATGGCCAAACCGCTTGAGACGTCCCCACGACATCCAGCGAAAGGGGCCGAGTGAAATACAACCCCGCCGCTCCCCTCAGAGTGCTGAAACCAGCGAATCGCCTGAGACATCCTCCAAATATGCTCCGAAAGCGAAACATGCTGGAAGAGAAAATAACCAAACCGCCTGAGACATCCTTACAAAATCCCGCGAGAGGGGCCGAGTGAAATACCCCCCCCGCCGCTCTCCCCAGGAATGCTGAAACCAGCGAATCGCCTGAGACATCCTCCAAATCTTCTCCGAAAGTGAAACATGTTGGAAGAGAAAATGACCAAACCGCTTGAGACATCCTCTCACAATTTTGCGAAAGGGGCCGAGTGAAATACCCCCCCGCCCTTCCCCTTAGGAGTGCTGAAGCCGCAGAATCGCCTGAGACATCCTCAACATCAGTGTGTGTGAGTCACCCGATGAGTGGACCTGAGTGAGTGCAGCGAATGTATGAGTACAAGTACGAGTGAGTCTCAGTGATGAGGGAGTCTGAGTGATGAGTGAGTCTGGGTGATGAGTGAGTCTGAGTGATGAGTCACGAGTCTGAGTCATGACTGAGTCCGAGTGATGAGTGAGTCTGAGTGATGAGTGAGTCTGAGTGATGAGTGGGTCTGAGTGATGAGTGAGTCTGAGTGATGAGTGAGTGGGTCTGAGTGAGAGGAGTGGTGTGTTCTCTCTCCTCCGGCGCGGCCCGCCAATAATTACTCGACGCGGGGTTCCCCATATGTGCATCTCATTTTCTTGGTACTTCTTTCTCTAGATATCTGTCAATGAGCGCCTGTGTGCGAGGGCGAACCGCTCGCTCGAGACATTCCCACAGTCTGCAAGCATGAGTGCGACCAATAGCAAATCTGAGAGCGACTGAATCTGAGTGTGAGTTAATCTGGGTGCGATTGAGCCTGGGTTTGAGTGGGTATGCGTGTGAGTAAATATGAGCGCGAATGCGTCTGTGTGCGAGTGGATCTGAGTATAGACGAATCTGAGTGTGAGCCAGTCTGTGATTGAGCGGATCGTAGCATGATGAGTCTGAGCATGAGTGAGTCTGGGCTTGAGTGGGTCTGAGTGTGAGAAAAAGTGTGTGTGTGTGTGTGTGTGTGTTAATGAATCTGAGTGCGAGTGAGCCGAGTGTGATTGGGTATGGATGTGAGGCAGTCTGAGTGTGAGTCGGTCTGCGTTTGAGCGGACCGAAGGATGATGAGTATGAGCAGGAGCGAGTCTGAGTATGAGTGGTTCTGAGCATGAGTCTGAGTGTGAGTAAGTTTAAGTATGGGTATGAGCGAGTCTAAGTGCGAGTGAGCCTGCGTGTGGCTGAGTCTGAGTATGGGTGAGTATGAATGCAGAAGAGTGAAGGAGAGCGGAGAGCGAAGGAGAGTGAGGCGGAAGCGTTTGAGTAAAACCTAAAGCCTTGGAACATCGAACCTCGATCGTCTGGCCCTGGCTACTCGAGTTGCCCACGTCCTCCTCCTCCTCCTCCTCATCATCATCATCATCCTCCCTTCCTGCTTCTGCTCCTACCGTGTTCATGCTGTCCTCCTTCTCCTCCTCCTCCTCCTACGGCCTTAATCGAATAATTCATAACACTTCGCTTAATGATCTTTCCTCCTTCTCTTCCTCCTCCTCCTCCTCCTCCTCCTCCTCCTCCTCCTCCTCCTCCTCCTCCTCCTCCTCCTCCTCCTCCTCCTCCTCCCTCCGTAGCCATTTTGGCTCAGGCCGTGTTCCCCGCTTTCTCCGCAGCCTTTTCGCCCATGTTCGGCGGCTCGGCGGCGGCGGCGGCGGGCGCGCCCTGGATGGCTGCGGGGGGCTGCCCGCCGATGTGGCGGCCCAGTGTTTTGAGGATCATCGAGAAGGACTTCCTCGGCGCCTCCGCGGCGAGGCGTGCTGCTCGACGGCGCGGTCGCGCTGCTCTGGAAGCAGCTCTGCGGCCGCTTGTGGCGGCTCGCGGCGCCCCAGGCTCGTGGGTGGACCGCGAGCGCGCGTCGAGGCCGGCTCTGCAAAGGATTGCCGCAGGAGATCGTGTTCCTGGCGCGATGCGGCTGAGGCGGAACGCCGCCTGGCACGCGTGCCGAGTGCCGCCTGGCGGCTTCACAGCCGCGTCCTCGGCGGATCTGTCCTGGGCTGCTGCTGGGCCTCGGCTGGGGCACTCTGCTGGTGGCATGCGGGCTGAGGCCGCGTCGTTCGTGCCGCGGGCTGCATGCCGTGCGACGGGCGTGCGGTGCAGCTGCGGGGCGGTCGCTTTCTCATCGTGCTGCTTGCCACCTCCTGCTGACGGCCTGGCGTCGCCCGACGCGTCGCTCGTGGAGGATGAAGGATCCGAGGCGCCCGAGGGGGAGCGGTGGGCAGGCCCTGGGGTGGCCACCGCCTGCTCGTCCTCCCCGATGGCGCCGCCCTGCTCAGACGCGACCCTGGCCTACCTGGAGGCGCACCCTGCTGCGGTGCTCAATGGGTGCAACGAGGCTGAGGACGGGAGCTGCCACGTGAAGGTACCGGCGGTGGAGGTGGAGGGCCTCGGCGTGTTCGTGGCGTCGGACTGCGTGGGCCCCTCCAAGAGCGACGTGTCCGTCTCTGGCTCGGACTCCCAGCAGTACCAGAATGTCACCGCCGAGGCGACCGCGGAGGACTACAGCGAGAAGATCAGCGAGGCGATCCGTGAGGCGGGCCTCGTGCGGCGGCTGCCTGATGTACCGCCGTGGCTCCTCGGGGTCTCTGGTTCTGATCCTGGTTGCGCCCGTTGCGATGGTACCCTCGTTCGTCGGCGACGTGGGCCAGGGAGGTGCTCATGCAGGGCATGCGGAATGCCCATTCCTCGTGGTGCGGTTGTGGCAGCCTGTCCGCGCTGCCGTACATCGTGGCACAGTTCGTGTCTCAGGCGTTTGTTCGACGAGGATTGGGACGACTCTGGCAGCTCTTCATGATGCCGTGCGTGCTCCTGTCCGTTGAGGTCTTCTTCGGGTTCACGCTTGTGGTGGGCTTCACGGCAGGTGTGACGTCAGCGGCGGGGCAGGGCTGGTGGCGTAAGTGGCAGGTGGCGCCACCCAGCCCTGCCCCCTCCTCTGGGGGGAGGCGCCGTCCCCCCAGAGCGTATGGCTTGGCAGTTGTCGATGTTAAAAAAATCCTCCTCCTCCTCCTCCTCCTCCTCCTCCTCCTCCTCCTCCTTGGGAGTGCTGAAACCAGCAAATCGCCTGAGACATCCTCCCAAAACTGCTCCGAAAACGACAGATGCCCAGCATCATAACGGCCAGACCGCCTGAGACATCCCCGCAAACTGGGCGCGAACGTCCTCCAAATCTGCACCGAAAGCGAAACATGTTGGAAGAGAGATGGCCAAACCGCCTGAGACATCCCCACAAAATCCCGCGAGAGGGGCCGAGTGAAATACCCCCCCGCCGCTCCCCTTAGAGTGCTGAAACCAGAGAATCGCCTGAGACATCCTCCAAATCGGCTCCGAAAGCGAAACATGTTGGAAGAGAAAATGGCCAAACCGCTTGAGACATCCCCACACAATCCCGCGAAAGGGGCCGAGTGAAATACCTCCCCGCCGCTCCCCTTAGAGTGCTGAAACCAGCGAATCGCCTGAGACATCCTCCAAATCTGCTCCGAAAGCGAAACATGTTGGAAGAGAAAATGGCCAAACCGCCTGAGACATCCCCACAAAATCCCGCGAAAGGGGCCGAGTGCAATACCCCCCCGCCGCTCCCCTTAGAGTGCTGAAGCCAGCGAATCGCCTGAGACATCCTCCAAATCTGCTCCGAACGCGAAACATGTTGGAAGAGAACATGGCCAAACCGCCTGAGACATCCCCACAAAATCCCGCGAAAGGGGCCGAGTGAAATACCCCCCCCGCCGGTCCCCTTTCTTTCTCTCTTTTTTTCTTTTTTTTCTTTTTTTTTCTATTCTTTTACTCGTTTTTTTTTTTTGTTCCCTTTTTTTTTTTCCTCCCCTTAGGAGTGCTGAAGCCACAGAATCGCCTGAGACATCCTCAACATCACTGTGTGTGAGTCATCCGATGAGTGGACCTGAGTGAGTGTAGTGAATGTATGAGTACAAGTACGAGTGAGTCTGAGTGATGAGTGAGTCTGAGTGGTGAGTGAGTCTGAGTAATGAGTGAGTCTGAGTGATGAGTGATGAGTCTGAGTCATAACTGAGTCCGAGTGATGAGTGAGTCTGAGTGATGAGTGAGTCTGTGTGATGAGTGGGTCTGAGTGATGAGTGAGTCTGAGTGATGAGTGAGCGGGTCTGAGTGAGAGGAGTGGTGTGTTCTCTCTCCTCCGGCGCGGTCCGCCAATAACAAGAACCCCATATTTAGGATATGGGGATCAAGAACCCCATACTTAGGATATGGGGAACAAGAACCCCATACTTAGGATATGGGGAATAACAAGAACCCCATCTTAGGATGTGGGGAATAACAACAACACCACCACCACCACCACCACCACCAGCAGGAAGTCGGCTCGCCCCTCCTCGAAAGCAGGATCTGGCAGGCCCACGACAATAAAACGTTCCAGTGCGCTTCGGAACGCACTCAGGACGGATCTCAGGGGTCTCCGGTCTATCCCAGTCCGATTTTGTCCTGGTCTGAGGATTTGTCCCAGATGATGCCACGGGGATCGGGAAAGGGAACGAACGTTGGCCTTCAACCACGCGCCCCCGTGCCTTCCGAGGTGAAGCTGGACCCAGAGATCCTGGGGAACGCGCAGAAGTTCATCGCCGAAAAGATCGGGGGCAAGGCCAGGCTGGGGGGGGACACCTCTCCTTTACGTCCACCCTCCTCTTCCGTTATCGAAGACGCCTACGGCGAATCATTGCCGCCCCTTGTTTTGTTGGATATGCCTATGTGGCCAAGTTTGGCCACGCTGTCGGACCATGCGTTCCCCAAGCCGTTGTGTAAGCCTTTCGGGAAACACGTGGGGGAGGAAGAGGATGAGGAGAGGGAGGAAAAAGGAGGATGAGGAGAAGGATGAGGACAACTCTTAGGAGCTTCTTGGGTCACTTTTGGGGCCTCCTGTGAGCCTCCTGGGCGCCTCTTGGAGGCCTTTGAGGGTTTCTTGGGGGCCTCTTTGGCAGTCTTTAGGGCGTTCCTGGACCGTCTTGGGGCCCTCTTGTGACGCTTTAGGGCCGTTTTGGAGGCCATCTTGGGCGTCTTGGAGTGGGGGCCTTCTTGAAGGCCTCTTGGGCCGTTATAGGGCCATCTTGGAGGCCTCTTGTGCGATCTTGGGGGGCGCGTGGACCGTTTTGTGCCGCCGAAAGGCCGGAAAGAAGCGAACGCCCAAAATGGCTAGATGGTCAAATATCCAAGGAAAATCTATGATTCTGGCGTCGTCGGAACTTCCCGAATGACCTTTTGGAGGCCTATTGAGGCATTTTGGAGGCGTCTTGGGAGCTTCTCGGGTGGTCTTGGACTGTTCTGCTTGGAACCATGTTGGGCTGTCTTGGCAGCCTCTTGAACGGAATTCGAGGCATCTTGGATCCTCTGGGGTCGTCTTGGAAGCCATCCTGGACCCTCTTGGGCGAACTTGGAGGCATCTTGGCCGTCCTGGAGGCCACCTTCGAGCCATCTCGGGCGGAAAAAAAACGTGCCTCCCACCTCCAGGCAAGCTTTCCGGATGGCTGGCGCGCTGGGCCGAAGCCCCAGATGGGGCATCCAAGTAAAACCATAGCCAGTTGAAATTCAGCACGCCAGGCACCCCTGTTGCAAGGCAAGGACCCCAAGGGGCGGCGGATCGAAGACGCTTACGGCGAATCACCGCCGCTCCCCCTGCTTTTTGGGGGAGACGCTTGTGCGGGCGAAGGTCGGGCTGGAGCCAGTGGGCCGAGGAGAGAAGAGGGCGGGCGCGCGGCGGGGGCGGAGGGAGTTGGGGAGGAGGTGGAGGGCGGAGGACGCACGAGGAGGAGGAGGAGGCAGAGGGAGGAGGCAGAGGGAGACGAGGCGAGGAGGGGAGGCCGAAGAGGAGGGCCGAGGAGGGAGGGCGGGGAGGAGGCGGAAGGAGGAGATCTCCTGACCGCCTGGCGGTCTCTCGGGCTCCGCCCCCCCCCCCCTCTTGGCCCCACGTGTGCGCGCTGCCGCGACCACGAGCTTCGGGGAGCTCCCTCGTGTCGAGGCCATGCCGCGAGGAGGGAGGGAGGAGGAGGATAGTCAGTGCGTGATGTACGACCCCGAACCAAACCTCCAGGTCGGCTTAAGAGGTCGCCGCGGCGATCGCGGCGGCCAAGCATCGGGGCAAGGCTTCCGTCCAGGAGCCACACGTGGCACACGAGTGAAAAGTTAGCGACAGCGAGTTGCAAACCCATGTCCAACCTGGGGAGCCCTGTTTTTGTTGGCCAGGGGCCCATTATCACGCAACCGGCATGAGGAGAAGGGGGAGCGCCGACCTGCCCCGCTCGCGCGCCCCTGCTTGCCCGTGCCCGTGCCCGCGCCCGTCGTTTTTTGCACAGCTCTCCTTCGGACCCTCCGCCATCGCCCCCCCCCGAGTCCGCTCAGGCGCGCTCGACACGGAACTCGGTCGAGGCGGCCCGATCGGGGAGGGTGCGGCGAGGGGGGACACGGGGGGGGCGAGGGGGGGGGGGGTGGGGGGGGGGTGGGGGGGGGGGGGGGGTCGGGGGGGGGGAGGGGGGGGGGGGGGGTGGGGGGGTGAGGGGGGGGTCCTTGGTTAATTTGTGTTTTTTGTTGTTTTTTTTTTTTTTTTTTTTTTCTTTTTTTCTTATTTGTTTTTTTTTTTTATTTATTTTTTTTTTTCTTTTTTGTTTTTTTTTTTTTTTTTTTCTTTTTTTTTTTTTTTTATTTTTTTTTTTTTTTTTTTTTTTTTTTTTTTTTTTTTGTTTTTTGTTATTTTTTTTTCTCCCCCCTCCCCCGCGCGGCCGCCCTCGTCCTGGTCCCTCCTCCTGCATGCCGGCCAATCAGCCCTTCGGCGGTCCCGCATTGTGCCGCACGCTGGAGCGGACTGCCTCTGCCTCGCCGCCGACGGTAAAATTTGAGCAGGCTCGCCGATCTCGAAGGAGGAACAGGGGCACAAACATAAACTGTTGGCGCTCCGCGCGGCTTTCTTGGATCCGCGCTGCCTCCCCCCCCCGGCGGCGCCTCCGGCGCCGCCCTTGGCGCGCTCCGCGCGCCAGGGAGGGGGTCCATCGCAGATCCAAGAATTCCAGGCGGAGCGCCAGAAGTGTATGTTTAAGCAGTTTCTTGTTTCTCTCTGCTCCCCCCCTTAGGTCGGGCCTGATTTTGGGCGTAAGATAACACAAAGTCAAAACATACCCCCAAATGGACCAAAATTGTCAAACTATCGTCCCCCTATGATTTTTCAAATTTCTGCACACTCCTCCTGCAGAGGGGCACGCCCGACTTGACCCTCCCCCCGTGTCCGAGAGCAGGCTCGCCGCTCTGCTCCCGCAGGCCTCCCGCGCCAGGCAGCAGGGGCCCCCCGCCGTGGGGCCTTTTGTGCCGCGGCGGCCGCGGAGCGGCGCCGGGGCTCGCCGCCCGAGGAGCTGAGCCCCGAGCTCGCAACCGACGTCGGACCTCCGGGAGCGCGTGGGCCCCGCACGGGAGGGCTCCGAGAGGGGGTTTAGGCGGGAGGGTCTTTTTTTCTCGGGGGTGGACAGAACCCCCAACAGTGACACGTCGATTAGTGAATTGTCCTTTTGCGGTTCTCGCGAGGGCGCCGAGGCCGTTATTTTCCAGGCTCGTGCCCGCCAGGTTTGGTCCTCAGGTCGTTTTCACTAAACCACGTTTTACTAAATGGAGGTCTGTCCATCCCCGATTTTCGGGGGGGCCCAGACGGTGTGGTGGCCACACCGTGCGGTGAGTCGGTGGGGATCCGGGGTCACCGCGCGGTTTTGGCACTTGGGTCGCTCTCCGAGGACGTCTCGGGCGAGCGGGGCCTCCGAGGCCCCAAGACCGTGCGGTGACGGCCCGTGCGGTGAGGTCTTGGGGGGTTTCGAGTTCACAGCACGGTCTGTCACAGCACCGTTTCGGGACTCCAAAGTTTTCCAGATAGCCCCCCAGGGGCCTCGGAGCCTCGTAAAAACAGTGGGTGCGAAGCCCCTGGGGGACCCCTCCTGGAAAACCCCCTCCCCAAAAACCGCCTTTGGAACCCTCGGGCTCCAGCGGCGTGGGGCTGTCTGGGGATGTCCCTCGTTTTGAGTCGGGCCCGTCCCTCTTTACAAGAGGAACACATTCAAAAACAGTTTTCTCTTGCACCCGGAAAAGTCGAGGGACGATGTGTTGTACCACTTTTGAATATTGTTGGACTAGTTTTTAATTTGTCGCGCAAAGTCCGCCGGTAACGTGCCCGACCTGGCCCTCGTTCGGTCTGCGGCGGCGGAGGGTTCCGTGGCGCCGTGCTGCCTCCTCCCCCTCTCCCCTGAGATCCTGGCGCCGAGTGCTTCCACAACGGGCGCTTGCGCTCGAGATCGGGCTCCGGGATCTCGCAGATCGATCCGCCCCAGAAAATGCCGCCGCAGGAAGATGGGGTCCGGGGCTCCAGTCGTGATGTTTTTCAACGGCACCGTAACGGGTATTTACCAACGGGTATTTTGCAATTTTGCCGAAAGTTGCCACTTTCGGGCCTCTTTCTGGCAATGCAGCGTTGCCCACATCGGAAAGGGTTGGGTTTGCTGGGTCAGTGGCCAAAGTACCCGTTAGTGGAGTCCCCGTTTGATGGGCGCTGAGTTTTGCGATGCTACAAGTTTTGTTGCAAGGTCGGATCTCAGGGTCGCCCGGGCCCGCTTCTCCGCCTCGGCAGCCGGTGCTTCTCGGCTGCGAGGGGCAGGCAGCGGGCCCAGCTGCCCTCGCGGCCGTGCCCGTGGCCGCGAGGGGGGGAGGGCTCGGCCTTGTGTTAGGTCGGGCCTGTCCCTCTACAGGAGGAATAATCAAACATAGTAAATTAGTGAAAAAATATGGGTACGATGTTTTGATTAGTTCTGCGTGCTTTTGAATATGTTTTGACTGATTGTTATGTTTCGTCCCAAGATCCCCCTGCAGGGGGACATGCCCGACCTAATCCTTGTGAGGTCTGACGCGCTGCGCTCTTTCGGGGCTTCCCCGGGGTGGGCGGCCAGGGGGTCAGGGAAAGGGGGGGGGGCGGGGGAATCGGTCGCGCGCAGCTGAGTCCGTGGCTACTTCTTGATCCTCCAGCGGTGCTTGAAGTCTGCGTCAAGGGGTATGTGCTGACGCTGGTTCTACATGCTGGACATCATTCGTGCACGCACGTGTGCCTCGGACCTACCGCACGCACCCCTCATGACAGACCCGCGGGCGAGCAGCTAACACCTGCTTGCACGTCTTACCCGGAAAGCCCATCGACAATCGTTATGTGGCAGCTATTGTTCGGTGGTTTTGTTGGCCGACTCGCTCGGCTGGCGAAGCTTGCCTGTTCTCGCACTTCCAGGATATAAGCTGAACGGCTTGTAACCGTCAATGATAAAGATTATGCATGGACATGTCAGTTGGCGTGCCGCCTGGGATGGGGGACACCAGACGCGCGATCTCCACAGGAAGGGGAGGAGGAGTAGGAGGAGAATGCTGCGCTACAAGCGCCCTGGGCGCTTAGCAGCCTGCGCAAGAAAAGGAGGAGGAGGAGGGGGAGTAGGAGGAGGAGGAGGAGGAGGAGGAGGAGGAGGAGGAGGAGGGGGAGTAGGAGGAGTCATCCACGTCCTCGCATCTTCCTCGTTCTCCCTGTTCGAGGCGGAAGGTCGGAGGAGGATGGCAACACGCCCACCCCCAGTGGAGACGTTCGGGGCGCGCCTTCTAAGTGTCGGCGGCGAGCGCGGGGGGGGAATTGAGAAGACCTTCCCCTTCTCACTTCCCCCCTCGCTCGCCGCCGAGAGGGGTTGGACGGAGGAGGTGGAGGTGGAGCCGGAGGCGGTGGTGGAGGATCAAGAGTCAGGGTGGTTCAGCATCGGAGCTGGTGTATCCGTGGTCGAAAACCAATCGAATCTGGCCGAATTCCGTTCATTCCAGCATAACCCCGCTTTATCCGATTGAATCCCGCTTGACCGGCCCAATTCAAGGCATAATTAATTGGGGTCGAATGGTGAATCTGGTCTCATGGCCCCTCAGTTGGACGTTATAGCCTTTCGTTCTTACGAAGACCTCCCCAGGCTTGCTTCCCAAGGAAGAGGCAGTGGAGGATCGAGGGGAGGAAGAGGCTGCGTTCGCCTTCGGCAGCCTTGGTTCCCTCGACCAGGCTGGGCTCGTCGCAGGCTTGCGGCGACCCCCCGCTCGGGTTGCGGGCGGGGCCCCCTGAAGGGCCTCGGCCAAGCCGCGGTGCATGGTAGAGCCAGAAAAAGTCCATGGTTCGGTCGGTTCGGTCGGTTCGGTTGTTTCGCAATTCATGTCAAGACCAGAAAAAACACGTCGGAGAGTGGTTCACAAATGTTTGCTTGTGGGGGGCCTCTGGGGGGGTCCACGTTGCGATGCGAGCGAATCTACACCCTCGCCAGAGCTGTCCCCGCCCCCGCTGGGAGGTGAGCTCTCCCTGCGTACCTGCCCTTCTGATGGTCCAACCCACTTTAGCCTACGTCGAGCACCAAGGAAGCACGGAAGCACCGAAACTGGAGGGTTCTCACGTGTCGGGCCCTGGGAGGCGATATACTCGCTCGACACTGTCTCGATATTTTCAGGGTGCTCGAGATTATTTCTGAGACGTGGTCCTTAAGTGCAACTGGGGCAACATAACCTACCCTACAGCGCAGGCCAGTCCACAAGAAACCTTCCACAGGAAACCCAACCATGAGACCCGAGGAGGTCCATCTGTTTCTGCTGTGGGAACGTCACGCCTTCCACGGCAGAGCCATCGAAATCAAGACACCCAGGGCACCCTGGAGGCAAGCAGGGTGGTTCTTGGCATGGGCCTCCGCTGTAGGTGGGATGGGCGCCGGGATGCCCGGAAGGAGACGGCGCCCCTCCCCACCTGGGGGGGGGGGGGTCGGCCGGCGGGGCGAAGGTTCACCGAGTGGGGGCGGGGATGGCTTTTCTTTTCCACACAAGACGAGTCACTACGTCTTGGCGGCGCGCAGAGGGGGGTCGGGGGAGGGGGGAAGGCTCCTTAGAATTATGTTAATCGCATCGTACCAAGGATCCCGAAAATCATCTCGAGCACCCAAAGAAGTATCGAGACGATGTCGAACGAGTATCGCCTCCCAGGGCCTGACACGTGAAAACCCTTCAGTTTCAGTGCTTCTTTGGTGCTCGACATTCTTTCTGGTGGACAAGGCTAAAGTAGATTGGAACATCATAAGAGTAGGGGGAGTGGTGAAGGCTTCTTAGAAGCACCCCTGCTTATTAGAGGTCGCGAGCCTCGTTTATAGACGTAAGGCAGGGGCCTTCTAAGGAGCAGGGGTGCTTCTAAGAGGCCTTCCCCCCTCCCCCTACTCCCCGTTGCGCGCCGCCAATATTCTTTTCCAGAGTCACTACGTCGGAGGTATGGTGCCAAACGGAATCATTCTGTCGGCTCGGTTAGGTCGGTCGCTGCGCCGCCGCGCCCTGCTCTGCAGCGTCGCTTCCCTTGGCACATTTGGGCGCTCCGGCCCGGCTCGCTCAGTCCCCTTCGCGCTGACTCCTTCGGGTGGGGCAGTATCGGGAGCCTCGAGACGGGGGTCAATGCAAACAGGGGTCAGCCGGGGCACCGGATCCTGCAGGATCCTGCGAAGACCTCCCTGGCTGACCTGGGTCAGCGAGCCGCTCGTGGCCGCGAGGCGGCCGTGCATATTGGTTGACCCGGAGTTGCGAAGACCTGCGCTGCAGTTTTTTTGTTCTTGCATTGCAGTTGTTGGTTTCCTGCTGACCCGGGTCTGGATTGATCCGGGTCAGAAGATCCCCGACAGTAGGACGTTGTGACCCAGACCCCCCTCGAATCATGACGAAGTCACGGCGGAAAGTTTGTTCGCCATCGAATAGTGTTCGGCCCATCCGGCCACCGTGCCTGGGTTGTGCAATGAAGGCCGTTGGATGTTCGTTGGGACCTCGCGGTAGGCCTCTCGTGGGCAGCTTGGAGGCAGTTTGGAGGCCTCGTAGGGGCCTCTTGGAGGCCTTTGGGGGGCCTCCTGGGCGGCCTCTTGGGGCGGAAGGCTCGGATTTCCGGCTCGTGTTCCCTCTCTGGGGCGCCTTTTGGTGCAGTTTTCGGGCCCTCCTGGAGCCGTCTTGGGGGCCTCTTGGCGCTGTCTTGGGGCGGTCTTCTTGGAGGCTCGTGGGCCGTCTGCGAGCGTGTCGGTAAGCCGAAGAGAGAGGCCCCAAGCCTTGAACAGCTTGTCGGATTCCATGACTTTTGCCTCTCGGAGCCGTCTTGGGAGGCCTCTCAGAGGCCGCTTGGGGCGTCTTGGAGCTCTTGGGCGTCTCGGGCCGATCTTTCGGCGACCCGAGGCCCTCCTATGGGCCCGTCTTGGAGCCCTCTCGGGGCCCGAAGAATTCGCACGCCACCGCGTGGTAACGCCCAGGGGGCACGTGACAAGCCCCCAGGGATTTCGGAAATGGAGGCCCGGGCCCCTTCAGATTCCTCCAGGCATCGCTCGGACGTGTGCATTTTTCCTCGGCGAGGGCCATTGATGATTTGGCGGAAAAACCACGCACGCAACCGAACAAAAGCACAGGGAATGGACGTCCGAGCGATGGCCAGTCCTCTGGACGGAGGCCTGCGGCTCCAGGGATCCGGCGAAGGACCCGAGGACACGCCCACTGCGTGCCCAGAGGCACGGTGGCGGCGTAGTGGGGATGGGCAACCTTCCTAAGGGTACCCTTGCATCCTTGCCCCGTTCGGCCCATCCTTGGCGACTTTTTCGCTGGCCAACCTCAGGCAAAAAGCGTTCACGTTGGCCTCCAAGGCCCTTGCATCCTGACCGCGAATTCTTACGGTACGGGTTGACTGCAACGTACACCAGCACTTGTTGGATGAACAGAGTGCGCCCTGTGCCCCTAGAAGTGTTGAGGCTAGGTGCGCCTTGTTACGCGAGCTCTGGGCGCGCTCAGCTGTGCAGGCGCTTGCGCCCCCCCCACCCAGAAGAGCGGCCGCAGGGGCGGCACCGGAATGGGGGGTCGCGCTTCACGCCAGTGCCGATCCATCTTGCTTCTTCCCTCTTTCCCTCCCAGGAGGGTTCGAGTACGAGATCGACTACAGAGTCGATGTACCCCGAACTTGATTGCCTCGTCGAATCTGCGAGAAGAAGTCCGTAAAGTGTCCGTCGGCCTGCGAGCGCTCTGAATCACTTTCGTCGATCCGGCGAGCATTCTGATTCTGGAGTAAAACAATTCTGCAGTCGACCTCCTGCTCGAAGGGCGGGGGAGACGGATCAGAAGGGGGAGGGAGGGCGGGCTTGCTCGACTCCGCAGAGGCTGCGGGGGGAGGGGCCCGAGGGAGGCCGACGACAAGCCCGTCAAGTTTGTCTTCCACGGCGGCTCCGGGCGAGCCCCCCCAGCCCGCCGAGCCGATCCGGCCGATTCCATCTGGCCAGGATGGGGCGGGGGCTCACGAGAAGCGCAGGCGGAGGCTGAGGAGGAGGAGGAAGAGGAAGAGGAGAAGGAGGAGGAGGAGGAGCAGCAGGAGGAGGAGGAGGAGGACTAGGAGAAGGAGGATCGGAGCCTGCAGATCCAGTCCTCGATGCCCGTGAGAGATTGCCCCTGTTGGTCCGCACTTTCTTCGCACCGTCTCTCCCGTAGTCTGCCAAGGCGATGGGGAGATCGAGCTCATCTTTCGCACACGCAGGTCGAGCCAAGATTTTTTCGTTCGCTACTCGAGGTCTTCAGACGCTGCGTCTCCGCTCGGCAAAGTCAGCGCAACTGAAGGACGGTCGGAGGAAGGCTGCTCGGAACGACGGCTGCCATCCCTGGCGCTTTTCGCCCGAGGTCGGACCTGAAGGACATCCGGCAGGCCCGCGGCTCAGTTTCTTCCTCGTCGTTCTCGTCCTCCTCTCCTCCTCCTCCTCCTCCTCCTCCTCCTCCTCCTCCTCCTCCTCCTCATCATCATCATCATCATCATCATCATCATCATCATCATCATTATCATGTCCTCTCCTTCTCCTCCTCCTCCTCCTCCTCCTCCTCCTCCTCCTCCTCCTCCTCCTACACATCCTCCTCCTCCGCATCCTCATCCTCTGGTCTTCCACCTCCTTCACCTCTTCTCCTCCCATCCTCGTCCCTTCTCCACAAGATACCTCGCCCCTCTCGCACCACCAGAAGTGTCGGTATGGTGGGCCAGGCGTTTCGCTTGAGATTTTTTCAACGCGTATGGTCCTGAGACCCTGAAGGTTGAAGTCTTCAAACAACTACAACAATGGAGGGCGGCACCTTCTCAAAATAAGCCTGCCACATAAACATGCATGGATGGGCATCTTGTCAAAATGGGGCTGTCGCCTTACCGCCACACGCATTCGTCTTCAAAAGCCTGCAACAGTTACAATGCTTGAGGGCAGTATATCTGCAAATGAGACCTCGCCTTAGGGCCGCGCATATTCGCCCTGAAGTCTTGCAGCAGTTGCAGATGGGGAGGGCAGCACGCCTTGCAAGTGGTCTCTCGCCTCACCTCCGCGCACCTCCGTCCGAGATGCCTGCAGCAGCTGCTGCGAGGGACGGAGGGCAGCACACCTTCCAGATGGTCCCTCGCCTCACCTCCGCGGCACCCCCGTCGGAGATGCCTGCAGCCACCTGCGAGGGACGGAGGGCAGCACGCCTTCACAGCGAGCCCTGGCCCTGCCGGCCGCGCACAGCGCCGGTGCTGCACGCACGCGGCCGCTACAGGGAGGGTGGCGGGCGGCGCCCCCGGCAAAAAATGGGGGGGGGGGGGGGGGCCTGCGCTCAAGAGCCTCGAACAGGAGGAGGAGGAGGAGGACGAGGAGGGGAAGGGGAGGAATTAGGAGAGGACGACGAGGATGGAGGAGGAGGAGGAGGAGGAGGAGGAGGAGGAGAGGAGGAGGAGGAGGAGGCGGTAGGAGGAGGAGGAGAGGGAAGGAAGAGGAGGGAGGAGGAGGAGGAGGAGAGAGGAGAAGGAGGCGGAGGAGGAGGAGGGAGGAGGAGGAGGCGGGGGAGGAGGAGTATGGAGCAGAAGGATGGAGGAGAAGGATGGAGGAGGACGATGGAGGAGGATGGAGAGCCATACGTTTTCAAGACGGGATCTCGCGGCACCGCCACGCTCATCTGTTAAAAAAAGCGCGTGGCGATCAGGGGGGTGGAGGGCTCTCCCAGCTCAAAACGAGATATTCGCGTCAGGCATCCTCACTATATATGACGGCGTAGGGGGGCTTGGGTCTGAGGCATTCTCAGAAGAGTGGCCACGAGTACAACATGTGGGCAGGAGCTCACGGATGTGGGGCGGGGGTGGTACATTTTCAGAACGGAGTGTTCGTTGGACATCTCGTTGAATTTGATGATCCTAGTTTTCCGCATGTATTTTCACTCGCCAGAAGGACGTGAGGTTGTTGATTTCCGACACGGGGTTCTCGCATGAATGGCAAATCCTTTAGGTGATTTGTTTTCAAGAGGCACTTCCTTGTAAAGGAGGGCTTGTAAGGACGTGTGGATGGGAAGTCGTATTACAGCATCCTTGGCGCATCCAGGGGTTGTGATTGCCCTCATCTTCCTCTCTTCCTCTCGCACTCCTCCTCTCGTCCTCCCTGTAACGTCACTGTTGTTCCTCTCCACCTCTTACCCTCATCATCATCATCATCATCATCATCATCATCATCATCATCATCATCATCATCATCATCATCATCATCATCATCATCCTCTCGTCGACTGTCTCCTCCTCCTTCGCCTCTTCAGAAGACTCGGCCCTCCCTCTCATCATCTCGGAGGAGGGAGGGAGGGAGGGGGGTAGTGAGCGATGGAAAAGGGGGAGGGAGGAGGAACAGGGAGGGAGGAGCAGGGGGATATAAGACTGTACGCTTCCCTTTGGGGTGGAAGGTCCCCGGGTGGCTGCGCATTTTGCGAGATGCCACCTCTGTGCACGACGATCGAGGAGGAGGCGAGGGATGCGGGGGGGGGGGGGGAGAAGGAGGAGAAGGGAAGAGAGAAGGGGAGAATGAGGAGGAAGGGGAGCAGTGGGAGGGGGCAGGGAAAGAGGGAGGCTGGGTGGCAGCGGGCTTGAGGGGGAGCCACAATGGGGCTCCAGGTGGCGTGGAAGGGGGAGTTGGGGGGAGGAAGAGGGCGACGTCACGGACGACCAGAGCAATTCCAGCGCAGCGCGCGCTCCGGACCCTGCCACGGTCACATCTGTTCTCCCGCTCGCTCGCCTCACGGCCTGTCAGAGGCCAGCACATGCCGACGTCGCCGCGGCCTGGGCTCGTCGTAGAGTGGCGGCCCCTCGGCGGAGGTCCAGGGGAGGGGCAGACGCGTCTGGTGGCGGCGGGGAGTGCCAGAAAGTGGCTCCAAAGGGGCCCCCAAAACGGCCATGAGATTGCCCCCGCGGGTCCGAAGGGTGCACGAGAAGCGTGCACGTGCCCTCGCACTGCGCTTGTTGCCCAGCCGTGAACGAGCACCCGACTCAGGACCCTTGTCCCTCGTGCCAGGGGTCGCATCCAATGTCTCGTCCTTCGAATAAGCTGCAGAAGCACAAACTTCCCACGGTCCGCGCGGGTGTCTTGGATCTGCGCCAGGCCCTTTTGGCGGCGCCTCCAGCGCCGCCGTTGGCGCGCCCACCGCGCCCGGGAGGGGGGCCCAGCGCCGATGCAAGAAGTCCGTGCGGACCGTTGAGAGCGTATGCTTGTGCAGCTGTTCCCTCCTGCATCTCTGGAAGAAGACGAGGCGATAGAGTACGGCGTCATCAAGATGAACATCGACACGGACACCCAGTGGGCCTACTGGGACGGCATCCGGAGCTTCGAGGCCAGGGGTCGGGCCGCGGGGCAGCCACGGCCGGCCACGGAGCGAGCGCGAAGAGCGGTCTTGACACCATGTCGGGGTCCCGAGGGGGGTCTGCTTCTCCTCCTCCTCCTCCTCCCTCCTCCTCCTCCTCCTCCCTCCTCCTCCTCCTCCTCCTCCACCTCCTCATCCTCTCCTTTCCTCCTCCTCCGTCTCCTCCGTCTCCTCCTCCTCCTCCTCCTCCTCCTCCTCCTCCTCCTCATCTCATCATCATCATCATCATCATCATCATCATCCACCATCCCTCCACAATTACTCAATCTTAATACTACTCTCGCTCTTCCCCTGATGACGGTTTGAAAGTGCTCGACCCCCCCCCCCGCGTACTGTTTTTTTACACAGGTTTCCCCAGAGTTGGGTTTCCGCTTGCATTTTTTTCAAAATGCTGCTCTCGCTGAGGCGCCGGCCTCATTTTCGGGCCCCGCTCGTTCCGAATCGTGCTCCCGCTGCAGCGCTGGCCTCATTTCCGTGCTTCGCTCGTTCCGAATCGTGCTCCCGCTGCAGCGTTGGCCTCATTTCCGCGCTTCCGCTCGTTTCGACTTGTGCTCCCGCTGCAGCGCTGGCGTCATTTCCCGTGCCATGCCACGGCATGCAATGCAATGCTAGGTTGATACTACGCTTTGCGGTGCTCTTCTACGCCATGTCATGCCGTGCTCTACAATGCATCGCGTACCCTTTCGGGATCATTGCCCTGCTCGACATCCGACTGTGCGAGTAGAGAGGGGATCTACGCCATGGTAAGGGATGGGAGGGAGGGGTAGGATGTCATATATGACGCGAGCGCACGTAGCTTGTCTT